CGGTATGAAGGAGATCCTGCTGATGGGCTTCTACCAGCCCCACGAGGCCCTCAGCCGCTTTCTGGTGTCAGCGCAGCAGGAGTTCAAGATCCCCATCAGGTGGGCAGGAGCCCTCGCACCCCCGGGGTACCTGCAGCAGCACAGTAGCAGCTTGGCCCCTCACCTGCCTCCCCAGGCTGGTAACCCCTAGCCAGCACCCAGGCATGGGCACGTGGGCTCTGTCCCTCCATGGATGGGCATAGCTGTCCTCCCTTGTTAACTCTGCCAAATTTCCCTGCTCTGAGCCCTGGTTCCTGCTCCAGAGATGCCTCTCCAGCCCAGTTCCAAGTCACCTTCCCCTCCTTCAATCTCCTTCCCCTGTGCCAACATCCATATGAGCCTCATCACAGCACGGCAGGATTATATCCTTCTAGCCCTTGTCAGCCCTTCCCTGCCCTGCTGCTGGTTGGTGCCACCAGACAACCGCTTCCCTAAGCCCTCACTTTTCCCTGCTTGGCTCACAGGTATCTCCAGGAGTACGCGGCGCTGGGCACGGGTGGTGGCATCTATCACTTCCGAGACCAGATCCTGTCAGGTGGTGCTGAGGCCTTCTTTGTCCTCAACGCAGACGTGTGCTCAGAGTTTCCTTTGCAGGAGATGCTGGAGTTCCAGCAGCAGCATGGGGATGCGCACAGCTTTGTCATTCTGGGTACCACAGTGAGTGGCAGTGCTGGGGAAGCAGCGGTGCTCTGCCGTGGGCTTGCCTAGAAGCCAGCGGCTCCTGCGGTAGATGGGTGTCTGGGTGTGAGCTATGGGTCTCATCTGCTCTGTATGCCTGCTGCTCCACCACTGCTAACATGTCCTTGCTCTGCAGGCCAACAGGACGCAGGCACTGAATTATGGCTGTATTGTGGCAAACACAGACACGCAGGAGGTACTGGAGAGCCCTGGGAAGCCAGATGCAGTGTGGGCAGCGGGTGCTGCACTGCCTGCATGGGCATGTTCCCAGTGTGCCTCAGAGGGGTGACACCGGCATGAGGGCTGCACCCTGAGACTCACATCTCTTCCCTCACCTCCAGGTCCAGCACTATGTGGAGAAGCCCAGCACGTTTGTCAGTGAGATCATTAACTGCGGTATCTACCTGTTCACACCTGCCATCTTCCAGCACATTGGCAAGGTCTTCCAGAGAAACCAGCAGGAGCTAGTGCTGTGAGTGCCTCTCTGTGCCCCCTGTCCCTACCACCCCACTGCTTCCCAGGGCTGCAGCACACTCATCTTCCATTCTTTCTCTATCTTCTCTCCTCTGCCATCACTCACTTGTTTCCTGGTCCTGCACCAGCTGTCCTTGCCTTGGGTAAGTCTCCGTCTGTGTCTGCACTGGCTGCTTTCGGGGCTGGATTGTCCCTGGCAGCACTGCATGCTTTCCTCTCTGCTCCAGCCCACTCTGCAAAGCTTCTCTTTCCTTTGCTTTCTTCCTGGCCAGCTTGAGAATCCCCCTCTCTCTCACCTCCCACCCCATCCTCATTCAGCTCCAGACAAGGGGCTGAGCAAGCCTTTCACCTGGGATCCCCCCCCCCCAGCCAGCCTGTCACCTGACATCTCTGCCCCCAGCCAAGCAACAACACAGCTGAGCAGGGCTCTGGAGCGGGGGCAGGATCTGTTGCTCAAACACCTGCCTGGGCTGGGTGGGAGCTCTTGCACCACCAACTTCTGGCTCAGGGCTTATTTAGCTAGGAAAGCCTGGTCCCTCTGCTGCTCTAGGGCTCAGTGGGACTGGGCAGACCTAGCCCAATGGGTGGGGCTGTCCCCACCACTGAGGAGAAGTGCATGGCTAGGTAGGAGTCTAGGATCACTGAAGCCTTTGGATTTGGGGAGGGTAGCTGCTGGGGTCCCTGGCTAAGGCTGTGACTGGGTGAGTGTCTAATGGGTCTCTTGCTTGCAGAGAGGAGAGCACCAATGGCTGGCAACGTGCAGAAGTGATCCGGCTAGAGCAGGACGTGTTCACAGCACTGGCTGGAAGCGGCAAACTCTATGTCTACAAAACTGATGGCTTCTGGAGCCAGATCAAGTCAGCTGGGTAAGGGCTGGGGCTAGAGCTGGTGCAGCAGGAGCATCAAGTGACCTGTCTGAGGGATGGGAGCGGAGGGTGCTCGCGTGGGGGCCTGGGGAGGGGTGTGAGTGCTGAATTTGGACACTCCTCTGCCCTGGTTAGTGCTGGAAAGGCAATAACAATCTTATGTTTTCCCTCCCCCAGCTCTGCTATCTATGCCAGCCGCCTTTACCTGAACCAGTACAGCAAAAGCCACCCAGAGAGGCTG